AACTTTTTTTACACTCCAGAAAACAAGCAAAAGATGTAAAAACTTAACTAAATTATGATTTAAATCAAGGAAAACAGACTCAAGTAAACAAGACTAAGAGTTTGACCCACTTTTGGTATTTGACACATTTGTACGTGTGGCTTTTCAGAGAAAGCCTCCACTCTTCGGTCATGCTGTAATGGGGCCACAGTAGGCGACACCTGCTCACATTAAGCACACTGGTCTGAAACTGGTCTTGTGATACCGCCACCCCTCTAACACAAAACACCAATCACATGTAAATCGAGGCCACCTGCTTTCATGTGAAACGGAAAAACAGTCAAAAGCAACCAAACTGGATCACCACAATAGCAACAACGCCCTTAACCTGTTCACTGCTATTAATATTCAACATTCTCCGCTGGACTCTGACCATTTCAAAAGATCACTATCACATGCTTTACTCTATGTTCTGTACTGCGATACTTGGACCAGGGATGTCACGAGATCGGACACTTTGGCACCAAATAGATGCCAAAACTTTAAGGTACTCTTTTTCTACAGCAGCGTAGGACATTCTTCCGGACCTGACGGGGCAGCATACGTGCCTACAAATACTCTAGTCTGCCATTAAATACCACAGGAAGGACGTCGACCAGCATGGAACACCACTAGTTGAAGACAGCTCTAGACTCATCAAAAAGAAACTGTTTTCACGTATGAGGACAGACACTTGATGGTGTGCTGGGATTTCACCTTAAATGATCTGCTGTGTTGTTGTTTGCACTATAGTAAAAGGTATCAGATTCATCCCAGCCCCACCCAAGTGTAGTTTATACGTTATCTCGTTGATGGAACTGTGTCAGTGGGGTCACCTCTGTGGTTCTCTCTCACCCTGTGGCTTTACTATGTATATTAAGGTTTTCCTGTTAGTCAATATACTTCCTGTATATACTGCATTTACAAGCACGCTTGTCAGCACTGACCGTGCAGAGCCTGGGATGCATGGATCTTGGCTGTCAGCAGGTAGGGCTGCTCCTGGTATTTGTGTGGTACAACCAGCGGCCTGGCCAGCAAAGTGCTTTGGTAGAACAGAGCTGAGGAGAGAAGACAAACAGTCATGTTTCCAAACGGGCACAGAAATGAGCACGTTGTAGCACAGCTTAACCCAGAATGAACTGTAAACCACTAAATTAAACGATCACACTCTTATGTCATTTCAGAATGCCTCGACTCAAACAACAAATTACGCTAACATAACTTGACATAAACTTTTACTTTAAACATCAACTGTTCCTGTCACTGACATTATGAAGACCGTTTTTAAAACGTACAAAAATGACACATAACACAATTTCTCATTTCACAGTTTCCCAGTGCATTATATATTTTTTGTCTTGAAAACATTTATTTACCACCATAACAGAAGGAACTCTGACAGCAGCCGTGCATTCCTATTATATACTGCTATAAACACTGGGTAAAAAAACAACAAAATAACAGGATTCAACACTCTGCTTTCCATTCACAGCCAAACCGGAGGCGCCACTTTCAGGACCACATTTGTAGGACCCTAGTTTTCCGTGACAATGCCACCTACCGAATCAGATGGAGTTTGCTGCTTGTTGTTAATATTAACACCATTTTGTCTCTATCCAACCTTTCCAGTATGTGGCTGAGATCTAGTGTCTGGGAAGGCGTAGAATATGACCTCATCGAGTATAATGAACTAATTACACAAATTGCCCAACATTAAACTCTAAACATAAATACTTGGATAAAGTAGTATTTGGGTGGAATAAACCTTTAAAACCATAGTAGAAAGTAGTATTTGGCTAGGTGGCGCTGTCGCGAAAACCTAAGGTCCAGGAGTGTGTGTGTGTGTATTGGAGGGCGGTGGCGAGTAGTCTTGGCTTAACATGAACTTTTATTGAAGGAGCTACTATGCTCTTTGCTTTGTATTACATAGGCCGAATTTAAAACAGAGTCTTGCCACATCGGTAAATGTCTGTAGTTCCGTTTTCACTGGTGTGTAATGTCGTCAATATGTGTGTTAACGTATACTTCACAAACTTCTACACGGTGTTTGGTGTAGTCTGAGGAGTATATCGCGCCAGCAATAACGTCATGGTCGGTCAGTCTGATGTCATCATGGTAAAAAATGTCAGTCCCCCTCAGTGGGCACTGATGTTAATCCGTCTGAGAGGCTGAAGTTTACCGGCGATGCTACCCAGTAGTAATGACACTAAAGTCGTGAACTTGAAAGTAACTTAACGTTAGTAGTCTCTGCCAGCCGTGATTTGTTCGTGCACTGCTCCTGTTCGACCTTCCGGCTGTTAAAACGCCCCGCTCTCAAACTACTACACTAAAGCGAGCACACATATTGAATGAGCCCAGAAACACTGAGAACAGGCAGAAGTACTCACGTTTGACTCCTCTGCGACACACAGAACTCAACCTGACGATAGCCGCCATGATGATCAACCAACCAAGGTCACCACAGTTACCCGGATGTAGTTGTTGCGCCGTCAGCAGCCCAAATATACGGAGCCCCACTGGGGTCATCTCAGGTTCTCTCGGCTCTTATTACTCACTGCAAAATATTGCAACATATGTTTTAGCAGCTACTTATTGAAATAGTCCGCTGTAGATGAATTATAATGATTAACATAGGTAATACGTTTAGAAAAACTAAAACTAAACTAAACAAATAAAATTAAATATTATCATTTAACCAAGATGCAAATTTGTGTTTTATACAGAATGTATATATATATATATATATATAATATATATATATATATGTGTCCTATTTTTATTTTTCAACATAAAATATCTTTGAAAGCGTCACTTCCTATGTCACATGTCGCACGCAGATCTACAAACGGCGCAGGCAGGAAATGCCCCTGTGTGTGGCGCATCGGATGATTTGTAGATCGACCGGCTGCAGCGCTCACTCGCGGTGAAACCGAAGGTCACCTCATCTTGTCTCGACCAACTCTGTGTGGATACGGAGTTGTTCTGTGACCATTCAATAACGCAATGGACGGTTATGACAATTTAAGTGCGTCGGAGAAAGCGGAGGCGACGGAGCTCCAGCGTATGATCGCCATAGAGCAACAGAAGGCGCAGTTCCAGGCACAGGTTTGTATGCTAACCATGCTAAACCCTTCAGCACTGATCCGAGAGAGCGAGGCCACATGCCGGCATATGAGCCACTCTGCCCTGGAAGATCTCACAGTTCAACGTTTCTTTGCTTTGTCATAAAGACGACGCCAGTTGTAGAACATCATGTGGGATTATACTAATGCTTAATGTTGCTACTAATTAAATACACTGCAGCAAACAGTCCCATCCATTTAGAAATGTTAGGCAGCATATAGACAGGGGCGGATCTACAGAAATATTCATGGGCCGTTCAGAGGGTGGCATGGAGACTTTAAGCAGAAATATATGGCGATTTAATCACAGACACATATTCAATCAATCACATATATCAATATTTGCTTGCAAGAGGTCCCAAATGAAGATATTTGAACTCAAAAACATCACATTAGTCTGCTACATTAGTAAAGCAGTAGAAGTATTTAAAGGTGGCATTAGAAATTATTTTAATCTCCAAATCTTAAGACATTTTTCCAAATACATGTCTTTTTTTTCATTGAACTTAAAACTGTCACTTAGTCTAAACCAGTGGTTCCAAAACCTGGGGGTCCGGACCCCCACTAGGGTTCGCCAAAGCTTCATGTGGGTTCATGAGGCCTTCTTAAGAAATGTACACCGTATCTCAGCATTTGGTTCACTTCTGTGAAGAAAAGTAAATGTAAAGTAAATTGTCTAATTGAACAATGACCAAGCATCAGGGAGAAGAAAACAGCTGTGCACCCGCTGTGTGTACAGTCTCT